CAGGACCTGTGCCAGCGGCCCCGGGCTGGCTGCTGCCAGGACACGGCCAGGTGAGCCGGGGCTCCGGGTCTGCTCACACGCACGCCACAGAAATCAGCTTGGCTTGCAACGTAGTGAAAGTTGCTGAGGGTCACCTCTTCCGCTGCCTGTCCTTCCTCCCATTTAGTTTTATCCCATTTGGAAGTGCTCGTGAGCACTTACTACCACTTGTCGAGCACCAGCTTGAAATAACAGAGCTGACGAGGCAGATGGGGAAAGCGAGTGAAGAACAGAGACGCAAAAGCAGGTGCTGTTTGGTAAGAGGGCTGCCCTAGAGCGGTACAAACCTCATTGAGGCAGGCGTTAGGAGAGGTGCTGCACTTCTGATTTTTAGCTACGTTTGTAGTGTTTATGGCCACAAACCACAGTGCATCCCAGAGGCTGAAAGAAATACCCCGGCAAAAGGCAAAAAGCCCATACATACATATTTTTATGAAGCACCTTGGTTGCTAATCCTTTTTCTTATCTTAAAATTACTGCGTTGCAATGTGGCAACTCTCTTCCTTGCTGTTTCCTTTCAGGATACTCTCGCTTGCCTTTTCTGTATTTTGTCTTCCCTTATTTCTCCACTTACCCCCACAAACCTCACTTCTTCCAGTCCTTTTCTCTTCCCTTTCTTACCCGGCTCATGCCACCCGCCCTCCACATCCCTGGTCACACACAGCCCTTTGGCAGCTCCGGCCCTTCCACCTCCATATCGCCAGCTGCTTTCCAGACACGATCTCACATGCCACCTCCGCAGCCACCCTCACTTTGCAGTACTTGTTATTCACCTTCGAGTCCAGAAAACACCACGTTCAACTAAGGACGTTTCGTAGACCACACAGCAGTTATACAACCTGTAGACACATTTTTGGGAGTGCTAACGGGAGGTGCCTCTCCTTTCTGGCATCCAACGCCAGACACTACCAAAGCGATCGGTAGACAAGTGCCAACCTCCTGTCCTCATCTTCAGCCCGATGCTTGAGAAAATTGAGCTGAAAGCCCTGAGTTTTATCATTGCTAACAGCTTTGACACTCCTGCTGATGTAAGTACTTTGAACGCTGAGCCATTTTGATGTGGTCTCAACAAAACATACTTGTGGTCTGGATCCAGACTTCATCATTTATGTAACTCTAATCTAGACATTAACATTTCCATGTCCCAGCTTAATTTTCTGTAAAATGAGGATCATGTGCCTCTTCCTATCTCTCGGGCCGGTAGGAGGCTCAGTACGGTTTCTCGCATGCTCTGAAGTTCTCACATGCAGGGACTGAATGCCGGGCCAAGGAACCAAAGTGCTTTTCTGCCTCCTGGTTGCAGAGCCATTATTAACATTGCTCCAAGAATGTTCTAAATACACCTACAGTTGGTAGGTAAGGTACCAGAGCGCGAGATGTGCACTAGAAACCTTTTCCTTTTGTGCTTAGATCTTTATCTCAACCCTAAAACCCAAACCAGCCACATTAGTTAGACTTAACTAGCACGGTCTCATGTAGCAACTCATTAGAGAGGAGCCCTCAGAGCAAATTTTGTTTAAGTCGAAGCAGAATTACATTTCTTTGCCATGTTTATTATGTCTTGTCCAACGATGATGTCTAAAGGGCTTGCTGTCTGTTAGCTAGTGATTTAACGCTATTTGCCCTAAGTCTTTGGAGAGCAGGGCATTGCATTAAAGGAAGGCTGTTCTTTTTAAAAGAACAAGAGGGTTTTTTTTTCATTGGAACAGGCACCACGATCTCAGGAGCCTCTGTTTGCGACCCCAGTCAGGTTTTGCATCCCATCCCTGGCACTGCTGGTGAGCCAGAGTGGAAAGTACTAATCAAGGAGTGCTTGAACTTCTCCAGAGAGCATCTGGCACGGGACCTTTTGGGTCCAAATGTTCCAAGTGTGTGTGGGAAGGACACTTCCCTTTAGTGGGTCCCTTTGATCTCTCTCACTTCGGGCTTCCCCTCCAGGCCTATTGTTTGCACATTGCTGTAACTACAGGAAAACAAACGCATTATACAATTTCCCAGACTGACTCACCCTGGTACTTGATGCCTCATGTTGTCTGGTTACCTCGATTGCATCATGTCAGCATGGGAAGCTTAAAGGCTGGTTTTTCTGAGTAATACTGCAGTTGAGCAGTAGCTAAAAACAAAAGTTATCATTATTACTATTATCTTCAACCTGCAAAGTACAAGGGAGAAAAATCAAGCAAGCCAAGTCCCTATTAACTAAAGCTTGTGTGAATCATGAGTTCCAGTCAGGGGCCATGCTTAAATGATGCAGTATGTGAATATAAAACCCCTTTACTTCTGGAAACTTGGACTCAGCCATTGGAACGGTCCAGTCTGTACTACTCCCTTGTCCCCAGCTCCTCTGGGATGCGTTTTGTTCAGCGTGTTGTAAACAGGGAAGGGCGGGAGGTGTCCACGCGGCTGCGTCATGCACAGCGGGAACGGGGCCATTGCTCCTGGGTGGGGATGAAACCCCAGGAAAGTTGTCACCCGGTTAGAGTTCGAGCATCTTACAATTCCTGTAACTAGTGTGTATGTGGAAGGAGGGGGTTATCCACACTGTTTATCTTCAGCTGGTTTAGGTGCACTCAGCAAAGCTGACTGAGCTTCAGAGAGCAGGTCCCAAGACGGGGGGTGAAGCTCTCCATCACCGTACCATGGCCCCTTCCTGACCCCCCTGCTTTGGCCGCCCAAACGTCACTAAAATACTCCCCCGTAAGACCCCTCTATGTATTAGCAAGGAAGCGTTGCAGCAAGTTCAATTCTGACGTAGGGCTTCTTCCACAACCCAAAACTTTGTTTAAAAGAAAGCAAAGCTCCCTTTCCTGTGCCTTCCTCCATGGCAGGGATGCGCCAGGCAAAGGGAGGAATTGCAATTGTTACAATCCCGTGCCCGCAAAACATCTCTTGCAAGCATCAGACCTTGTCTCCTCTTTCTGAACGGAGCTGATGCAGAAAGCCGCTGCTTTCCGTCAGGCCGCCACACGCAGCGCTCAGCAGCGCACGCTGTACCTACACCTTCAGCCGCATCGTATCCAAAGGCTAGCAGCATCCAGAGCTCAACAGCATCGGGCGCTGGTGAGGAAACGACAGAATCCTCCTTTTAGGCACGCTGGGCGATGCGCTCACGTGCTCTGCGGGAACTAATTTCAGAAGTTTAATTCCATGTAAACCAGTTTGGAGCCAGAGGCGGTGACATCCATTAGCTCACGGAGCAAAGCCATCATCTCTTACACGCCCTGGCCCACAAAGGTTGAAAGGAAAGCTAGGTAGTAAAAGCATTGCAATAAAACTCCGTTTCTGTTTTGAATCAGCTGTGTGGGACAAAAGCCTCCAATTTCTTGTGTCTCACAGGGAAAAGAATCACTAAAAGCTACGAGACAAAAGCCTCTATGCCAACAGCACTTCTGAGATTCATTTTTGATCGCTTGATATTTCATGCAAACAAGAGGCACTGTGTAAACTAAGTTTTATATATATATTTATTTGCACTGACAAATCAATAGTGACAAAATTAATAAGGCCTTCCTTAAGCTTTGAGGACATGATTAAAGGCTTTTCCAAGGATATTTCTTCATTCAAAAGGATATAATTACGTTTAAACAAGTTATCATGTTTGTGCACGGTAAGTACAAAAGCAGCTCTGACGGGACTTGTCTAGACACTTCCACCGCGTTTCTTTGTTCTTCTTCTAAAGTCATTTTTTATAAAGGAACTGCATCACTACCCCATTTTTTCATCCAAGTTTTATCTCTTTCTTAATTTCTGATAAGAGAAGATTCCTTCCTCTTACAGAACCTGTGTTTTCTCAAATTTTCATTTAACAGAAATTTGCCAGGAAGTGTTTTGTAAATTCAGAATGACTTCACCCTTTTCAAATGCACGAAGTCCTCTCTATTTCTGATCTTTCTCATTTTCTGGTATTAGTTCTTCAACCAGAATAACCCAGCAATGGCCTTTAAAAAATTCAAGCAATGAACTGAAAGAAAATTGCCACCCGAAGTAATGCAGACCTGTGACCGTGCAGAGGGTTGTTACAGATAATTGATTGAGGTAATATCAGACAAAGAAATTTAAAAAACCATTACATATGTTAATACGGGCACACCAATGTTCCAGCTGGCTAGCACCAATGCTACAATTATGCATAGAAGTCAGGAAATTATGTGTGGAAAGAATAACGAGCAGCATTGTCTGCCCCAATTACCAAGTTTGCATATGCAAACAATAATTTTGCAAATCTCTGCCTGGCAAGCATTTTTTTTTTCTGAAGCTGCATCAGCAGCTCTAAGGTTAACTGTAACAGCGAAGTAACCCAAAACCATCTCAACTCTGCTTCAACCCATCCTCCCTTTTTTAAAGGGAAGCAAAGCACTTCATCTGAAGGTGATTAGACGGGAAAGCACGCCAGCCCAGCGCTGGCATAACCCGCCTACTGCTGACAGGCCGACGGAGCGTGCTGCTTACAGCACGGATGTCAGTGTCTATAGGGACTCCAGCGGAACGGCCGGTAACTGGGAATTACGTGTCTTTTTTTTTTTTTTTTTCCAGGGATTCAGATTTGTTCCTGCTCGACTCTCGAACAATCTGGGCCGCAGAAGAAGGGTGGCTGGTGTTTGACATTACTGCAACCAGTAATCACTGGGTGGTGAATCCCCAACACAACCTTGGCCTCCAGCTGTCCGTGGAAGGTGTCGATGGTGAGTGTCAGACTCCAGCATCAATCAGTGAGTCTCCGTTTCAGGTGTCCAGCTCCCGGCCAGCAGAAGCCTTAAGCGTTCAGTGCTCTTTGCTTTGAATAGGATTTCTTAAGCATGTTTTTCCTGAATTTGCCCAAGATGCAAACAACAACAGTAAAATAATCCGTAGACATATTTCAGGTTAAGGATGTACTCAAATGCTTTAACAGATTGGTAACCTGTCTGCAGTCATTTCAGCATCAGCTACGTACACATCCCCATCAAGGCGCGTATACGCTGCTGGCTAATTTGCAGGTAGCGCGATCCAGTTGAGGAGAGAGGAAGAAACTTTGTTGTGTGCGAAAAGACACAACTGAATGATGTAGAAGGCTGGTGTTAGTTGGCACAAAAGTCCTTTCAAATTCAGAAAGCAGCCAGGAATCATTTTAATTTCCCTTTGTGGCAGTAAAGTCACGCCTGCTCTGGACTCCAAGGTCTGCAGCATACTTATGGTACAAACCCGTGAGGTTTGGGAACGGGTGGGAAGAGCTGGCTCTGAAACAACGCCAGAAAGGATGTGTGTAGAATCAGGTGGGGAATTATCCTAACCAGGTCTTAACTAAAAAGTCATGCTGCTTTGTCTTAAAGTTAAGATTCCTGATGCTCGCTTGGAGATTTGTACAAGGAAACCAAAGTTTCCTGGATCTTCTGGGGGGGTCCCAGGACCTGGGACCATCTGGAACTGCCTGGCTGCCCCACAGGAGAGGTTAAGCAAAACCCAGCTTGAAACTATTATAAATAGTCTGCACGTAGTTATCTAAGGACATACTTTGATATTCCAGATATGCATCTATGGTATCACTTGCTATTGGTTTTTATGCAACACTCCGAACGCTTCCCGTAAGTAGTATTTTGCATAAAGACCGTGCAAAGCAGTTTTGAAACAGGCAACCTACGGAGAGTCATTTACATGAAAAAGTGATTTTACTCATGTGAGACCTGCACAGAGAGGTGTGCAGGGTTTGTTTTAACCTGCCCTGAGTGATCGGTGAACGCAGAAACCCAAACACAGCTACAAAGCAGGAGCTTCACCATGGAAGTTACTAGTTCCCACCCCAATGACAGATGACTTTTGCCATCTTGCTATAAAGATTCAAATTCAGCCTGACTTACAAGTTAATCTTAACTCCTAAAGCTAAAACAGTAAGGCAAATGAACAGCCAAGACAAGCTTAACTCATTTTCAAACACTTGCCCTTGTTTTTAGTTTCCAGTTTGCCTCCCAAAGGAGATACTTGGATGTACAGAAGTTGTGTCCACAATCACGGCACATCGTTCACTTGTGCTTCCCGTGTAGGAACACCATCAAGGCCCAGCCCAGAGCCCGCAGACAGGCGACAGCTAGAAGTAGGCTTAATGCCCCTAAACACCGCGAACACTGCAGGGTCGCGCTCTTCTACCGATAAAGCCTTATCATCGCTCTGCCCTCCTCCGTCCTCACCTTTTACAGCAAGAGTCAATCCCTTTTTTCAGCATTAAGGAGGAAGGCAGCTGATTTATGAACGTGTTACAGATTTCAGCGGAGACTTTTCAGGATCCTGCAGCCAAGGAAAAGCTGCAACTTTGCACACACTTACAGTAACTCCGCTCTGCGGGAGCGGACCCTTAAGAGCATACAGCCAGATCTATGGCCGAGAGAGCTTTCAAAGGCAGAAATTCCCAGTGATAAGTGCCTTCTCACCTGCTAGTCAATGAAAATGAGGAGTCTGGTTTCTTTTCACACTCCTGAAAAAATCTGGCTGAGTTTGTAAAGGGTGGAAATCATACACAAAGAGACTTGCTGCTTTCTCAAAATAGATTAACAGAATACTTTAATCAGCCTGTCGTTAAAGTTAGAAAAGCCAGCTACGGTGTTTTAAAAGTAAATACAGAGATACAAGGGCTGCTTGTCTGCTGTAACCAAGTCCCCAGCACATTTTTTCACTCACATTTCTCCATCATACATGTGAATTTTTCTTTCTGTTTTGAATAGCAAGGACATGTCCTTCCTTGCTCCCCAAGTTTCATTTTGGATTTAGACCAACTGTGTGTGCTAACAAGAAAGCTGCTTTTACACCTGGACTTCATATGAAAATCATATGTTGCAAACACAGCAGGATTTTGATGCAACACTATATGCTTGGGCAACCCCCAAAGCTTTAAATGAATTAGGAAAAAAAAAAAAGTGTCTTTTCTTTGTATCTGTCATTACACACAGAGATCTCTAACTGTGACGCCAATACAGTCTATGTAAAAAAAATTCTGACATCTCGAGCTTTGTCCAGATGAAATTATACAAAAGAAAGTAATTTAACAGATCTTTGTATTTCCTTATAATCTTGCCAAATAAGCCTATCCACGTGTATAACTAGGGTGGAATCAAAGGGAAAAGGGGGATCAGCTCAGGCAGCAAGCAAAAGAAACGTCTGAGTGACTCAGTAGCCTTCAGCGAGCTCTCAGCCCAGCACCCGATAACACCTTGCTCAGCAGCAGCATGTGGCAACGCAGCTGCCCACTTTGCTTTACTTAGTTTATTACTTAAGATCCCATTTTTGACAGGTTTAAAAAAAAAAAAAAAAAAAGCAGCTTCATAAAAGCAGATAAAGCCATGCCCTGTGGTTCAAGAGCACAGCTTTAGTTCTTTTGGGAGAAGTTTATCATTGTCTAGTGGGGACTACACGTGTGTCCTTGTGTTTAACCTTGCTTTCTGGATGTATAGAAAAGTTCAAAAGTAGATTTTCCCCATCTCTTTTAAAAAGAAATACACTGCTTCGCATACAGAACATTATGTGCCTTTTTTTCCCCTAAAGAAACATTGCCACCATAACGGTCTCGAACACGACGCGTTGGTGTTACATGAGGAATTCATTGGTCAAACGCTACTTCTTGCTGCGCTAATGCAAATCCATTAAACATATCAGCGTGAAGCTGGGTCCCCTCCCCGCACACCACTGACCTGTTCTCTAGAGACATAGTAAAGGTAAAATAATTTACGCTGGACAAACCACAGCCGTGGATGTACTTGGTAGTTTAAACAGCTTTGGGAAGCAGAGCAGGAAAAGCCATAGGAGCAGCATTCAGTGAGCTCTAACTCCTGCAGCTGAGCTTGTTTTCAGGAAATAAGGCTTCAATCTGGCAAAGCCTGAGCACAAGTGGAACTACTTATATATTTAGTATTAGCTACTTGCTTAAGCACTTTGCAGGCTCAGCCTGAAACATTTAAAATGAAAACTGTTTGGACAAGTTTCCGGAAAGGAGCTTAAGCAGAAGGCGAAGAAGTTGTTGATGTGTGTCCACATATAAATCTACATACATGAGTTTTTGCATTTGCTATTTTCACCCGAGCTTTCCTGGTGCCTGAAATGACTTTTCCTTTATCCAGTTTGCAAGGCCCGGCCGCGCTGGGCAGCCTCCCTGCTGCCAGGCTCCCACTAAAACACCGCTTAAAGCTGGTCCTCTCTGCAAATCTCATGTGCTGCGGCTTGGGACTCGCCCGCTGGGCTGCACGCTCTTAGAAAAACAGAGCGCGGACCCCAGCCAAGGCCAGCCTGTTTCTTGGCCTCGAGGTTTGACCACAGCCCCCTTTTTTTTGGGGCTGTCAACGTTTACCAATCTTTTGGCCATGCTCAACAGCTAAGATGGAAACAATCCCATAAACCCAATGATTTATGACTTGGCATTTACTTTACTCATCTTAAAAACAGCAGTTCTGTAGTATTACCTGGAGATACTTCAGGTTACCAGCTTCTTTTCACATAGTAGTCAGAAACTAGTAAGATAAGGAAATTTTTGTCAGCGGACTGGAGAGCCCCTCGCCTGCTCTCCTGGCCAGGCTGCCTTTCAGGGCTTCTCTAGGAAAGCGTCTGCCATCCTTTGGCGTATTTGCTTTGTTGCTGACAAGGCCAGCTCTGTCCTTAGCCAAAGGATCACAAAAGCCATTAATGTAATTCTGGATATCGCCCCTGCGTTTCACAACAGCACCCGGACATCCTTTGGAGGCAACAGGGAGAATTGTTACATTTCTCACTGCCACCCGCTCCTTGAGTCTTAATTAATTGATTTAATTCTACAGAGAAACCACCTAATCATCTTTTACCCAGAATCAAATTATTTTAAAAGCCCAGGATGAAGGAAGCATGAACAGCAATCAACAGTTTTGCAAAGTTATCAGGTACAGCAGTGCCGAGATACAGCAATAAGCAAAATGCCTCTAAACATCCAAACTATTTGTTTCTCTCAGCTACAGTATATCTGGAACTCTGTCAACATTTCATACAAGGCATTTTTATTTTAAGTTAATAACCTTCCAGTGGGAATTTAGTGTTCCTATGGGCTGAGTTTTATGGTTCCTTTTATAGGATCACTTCAAATTATAGGTTGGTGAACTTAAAGAAACCCCTCTAAAGAATGCAGGAAAAGTTAACGCTAAGCGGATTTAGGGTAAAATAATTATATGTAGGACTATTTTATGTAACTTTTACATGCAGATATAAAATAAGTTAGCTGTGCTGAGCTGCTCTTGTCAGAAGAGGCTTTGCCGATTAAGTCCAGGCTCTTGGTAGATCGACGCATACAGACGTGCCTGGGAATCACCTTTACCAGCCAGAGAGCAGCTCTCCTCCTTGTCAGATGTATTATGTCTGCTGAAAATGGTCCATTCTGTTATTAAGGGCAAAGCATCAATCCCAAACTGGCGGGTCTTATTGGAAGGCACGGCCCGCAGAACAAGCAGCCGTTCACGGTAGCCTTCTTCAAAGCCACTGAGGTCCATCTCCGCAGCATTCGCTCCACAGGAGGGAAGCAAAGGAGCCAGAATCGATCGAAAACACCAAAGAACCAGGAAGCTTTCCGTGTGTCGAACATCGCAGGTACGGTGCGGGTTGCCGGGTCCGTGTTTCTGGGTGTGGGATGATGCTCTGCTGGACTTGACACTGGATGGGAATGGTTTCTCCCACACTCAGCCTCTTTGTGTCTCTTTGGTCTACCACTAGTGTTCTCTTGCTGGTTTGAAACTACCCGGGATTAAGGATTATTCCCAAAAAAAACTTAGAAAAATAATGTTTCTTTGAAACAGTGTTAAACTGAGGGATATCTTAATGCAATTTAAAAAAAGCTATCTGAACAGAAAATGTCCTTTTGTCCCACGTGAAATAAATCCTCATTTTGAAATGTAAGATGACATCAAACCAAATAGTAAGTGGTCAAAACAGTAATGTATTTCAGTAGATCTGAATCAAAACGCTGTAGATTTTCAGAGCTTGTGATTTTAAGTTTAGCCCCCCCAAAAGTTCAGTAGTCCCAAAAGTTTTGCATGGAAAAGGAAACTCCATTTGTTGCTCAGGATAACCGCAGCTATTTTGGGGGGGAAGCTGTGTTTCCTCATATGGAAGAAAACACCATCAGGCATTTGAAACAGAAATGTGGCTTAATTACGAGATACCTCAAAATAACGGGCCCTTGGTGACCTTCCCAGCAGGAACTGCAGCATGGGGCTAGCTCTGCTGAGGGCAGTGGCAAATTCCTGCTCGTATTTCTGCAAGTGCTTCACTGAATGGGAGGAGAGCTTGCAAGAGGTGGAAGGAAAAGGACAATGTAGGGCACAATATCATCTTACGTGACTCATCTCCACCTTGGGTTGCTTGGGGTTACCTGCAAGGCTATGGGAGAACTCTCTCCCATTGGTCTTGTTGCAGCTTCCCTATATTTAATCAGGTCATTCCTGTCCTAGAACTAATGATGTTTTTCTGCAGCCCTGGTGATAGGTTTGGCTTCTCTGACCGTGCCCACATGTATTTCTGTACCTGTCACCCAAAATCCTAGAGTCTCCTAAAATGGTTTTCAATGACTTATGTTTCCATGCTCTGGGTTTTGCAGTTCCCCAAACATACATGGTCTGCAGTTTAAGTGTGCATTTTCATCATCTATTTGCTGTATCAATTCAATTTTTAAAGGATGGGTAGTGGACAAAAAAAATTTCTTACTTCTGTGAGGAAGCCAGAAAAGTCCCTGTAACCAGTGTTCTGCTTCCAGCTTGGGGACCCCAGGTTGAGTTAGTTTCCAACAACAAGAGTCGAAAAAATATTTTCTGGTGCTTCTACTTGGGTCTCCAGCTTAGGCTGTGTGGACACAGGATGGACACAACTTTAAAACTGCGCTGACAATCATGGTTGTTCAGATCCACAATTCAGACCCATGCTTTATTCTTTGGCTTCTCCATGAAGCGTTGTCACCCATTGCAAGAAGTCTGTAATCTGGACCCAGCTGCACCAGACAGCAGATTTCACATTGTCTTGACATCATACACTGCCCTTGTAGGCCTGAAGGTGCCAGTATCACCAGTAACGCAGGCGATTCAGAGACAGTAAGGAATGTAGAAGATAGGTAAAGAGTGCTTTTCCCTATCGCTCCTTTCACAGGTTCCCTTTTTATGTAGTAGGCGATAACCAGAGAGATCTGCTTTTTGCCAATACGAGGTCAGAGGAAGCCCAGGAAGAAAAAGAAAACAAACCCAAACTGTTTCCCAGGCATTCTTTGGCTTTGCACAAAAAGCCAGAGGGGCATTTCATATGTATTGAACCCAGCCCTTATTTTATGACTAAAATTGAAAATGTTTCAAAAAAAAGCTACAAGTGCAACAGATGAGCAACGACACCTCATGCTCTGTTGGGGCATTGCTGGGGGTACGTGAGGAGCCAGGGGGACCCCTCATCCCCTCCTCTTTATCTAGTGAGGATATATCAAGCTGTAGCCCTATATGTAGTACGGGGTGGTACTTACAGCCCCCCTTTCCCTGCAGAGAACAGCAGCAGCGACCAGCGACAAGCCTGCAAGAAGCACGAGCTCTACGTCAGCTTCAGGGACCTGGGGTGGCAGGTAAGGGCCGTGAGTGACCAGCATGTGAGCCGGGGTGCCTTTGCATATCACTTACCGAGCTGCAATAGTGAGATCGAGCCAATAACGGGATATTTTTACCATCCCTGGGAGAAAAAAAATACATATAGTGTCCTTAGCATGCTTAAGAAGTACTTCTGCAAAGCTAGGGTATACAAATACTTCGTGTGAGACTGGCTAGAGACTCACCACAGTTAGGTCCTTTTGAGGAACCGTGGCCCTGAACGTCCTCTGGCAGCGCTGAACGCACGTACGGCTCTTCATGTCCATCTATCAATTTTTAGACCTGGTGAAAGGCATTTACATTTCTGAAAGCTTGTACCTGCGTTTCAGCAATGGGTGAAGTGATCCTTGGGGACAGCTGGGAGGACACTGCTGAATGGATAACCCCCCCCCCAGCCCTGAAGTTCATCACTCTATAGGCACACTTGCAAAGTCAGATACGTCCCTCCAGGAAAAGCAGCCGCTTCAGAGGTGTCTAAGATAACATTAGCAAGGCCAGCGTACCAGATTTTTATTTTGCACGCTTCTGTAATTGTACGTAGCCATATGAATTGCTAGATTTATGTGCTGTTCTACTTTCTGTTTCACTGCACAATATTTCTGTCTTTCTCCACAATCTAACGTCTTTAATTTAATCAAGGACTGGATCATCGCTCCCGAGGGCTACGCTGCGTATTACTGTGAAGGAGAATGTGCTTTCCCATTGAATTCATACATGAATGCTACAAATCATGCCATTGTACAGACACTGGTAGGTGCACTGTAGCTCCTAGTGTAGAGTTATTTCTGATAGGTGCTACTCAGAAATAAGTTTATACACAAAAAAAGTCTCTAAGCAAACACGAGAAGGAAGGTCTGCATTAGCTCATGAAGATGCCTGCAACATCTGGCTAAACATGTCTAGCCAAGTGGCCTGAATTAATAGTTGGCTAGGAATTACCCCATCTTTGCTGCAAGCATTGACATGCTCTCTCTAGTTTAAAAGGGCCCCATGATAGACATCTTAATGGTGGTACAGTCCCACTGCGGGGCAAGGAAAGAGCAGGATGAGACACCCGTTATCAGCATCTCTCGTGCCTGCAACATCTGGCTAAACATGTCTAGCCAAGTGGCCTGAATTAATAGTTGGCTAGGAATTACCCCATCTTTGCTGCAAGCATTGACATGCTCTCTCTAGTTTAAAAGGGCCCCATGATAGACATCTTAATGGTGGTACAGTCCCACTGCGGGGCAAGGAAAGAGCAGGATGAGACACCCGTTATCAGCATCTCTCGGAAAATCTCTGCAAGGACCCGCCGTAGGCTGCCACCAAAAGCAGATTTGGGGGCAGACTAAGGAAGGGGTCAGTGAATCCCAAAATTACACAGCCCAGCTGCTCTGTGGGTGTATTTATTTTACAAAATCATGCAAAGATGTCCAGATGGGAGCCCCGAGCTGGCGTGTCCTCACGACACAGCGCCTGTGCTCAAGGGGACCAGTGGCTGGGGGCCACCCAGCCCCAGCTGCGCCACCAAAGCCGATGCACCACAGCTCTTGGCATTGGCCAGGAGACGTGCTGGTCCCGAGTACCCTGGCTGTGCTGCACCCCCAGCTGACCTGCCTGGACACCCTCCTCTACCCAGCCCAGGCCCCTGCACCCATCTGCAGGGCACGAGGAGGGCACCCCACCTTTGCATCTACATCCCACGTCCTGTGTGCATCTAAACATTGCAAAAAAGAAAAAAAAAAAAAAGGAATCTAGAAACATCTACATTTCCAAGGGAGGAAATATCTGCATGTTTTTCTCCTGGTAGATTGCTTTTTATTTGCCTTTTTCCTCCTCTCCTCGGAGGTCCCGCAGCAGGGAGCGCAGGGCACCCGGAGCCCTTGGCCCCAGCTGGGTCTTGGTGCTGCCAGCCGCAGGGATGGGGCCCCTGCCCGGGGCTGGTGGGATTGCTCACAACACCTCGCCCGCACGTCCTGCGGAGTTTATCGTAACTGGTGCACTTCTGCAGAATGCTGACTGCTCTGACAAATGGGGATTTTCTAATGAAAACCTGCTTCACTGAAAGATTTCCAACTAGATCTGGCTTGGGTGCGTGCGTCAGCCTCTGAACATGCAGGGGACATCTCAAGATGTTTGTACACAAAGCCAGGTGTTCGAAACATGTCTGAGTGAGTGTATGGGACAGACACAAGGTTGCCTGAGAAAGAAAAATATGGGGGAGGAGAGGGGAAAAGTAAATCTTAACATGCCTCTGCTTTCATTCCCAGGTTCACTTTATAAACCCAGAGACTGTGCCGAAACCCTGCTGTGCTCCTACACAACTCAATGCCATCTCCGTGCTCTATTTTGATGACAGTTCTAATGTTATCTTAAAAAAATACAGGAACATGGTGGTACGAGCATGTGGCTGTCATTAGATTTGTAGGAAAGAAAAAAAAAGTTATTTGTAAAGAGTGGGTTTGTATGGCTATGTGGGGGAAGGGAAAAGGTTAGCACTCCAGCAATGGCTTTTAAAAAAAAAAATCCCAAACAGTTTTTAGGACTGGGCTTCTGAAAGTTCAGACAATGGAACAGTTTCTGGATCTAAGTGGCATTTGAACACATTTTGTTTTAGTTTGTTGTAGACAATGAGCTTGTAAACTGAAACAAGCCAGAGAAACCATTTAAAACCAAATCTGCCTACAAAATTGGCTCCTACAATACATACTTTTACAAATGAGTCTTTCTGAAGATTGCAAACTCACCAGTGTTGATTGCGAGTTAAGAAGTAATAATCTATCCAAGGTGAGAATGTGCTGTGACTAATAAGCATGTGTAGTTCCTGTAACACAGTTTGCAATAAAATAAGTGAAGAAAATATACCTGGAGTGAACAGGTATTTTGTTAGAGAATTTACTTCCATTCCTCTGTTTGCTTCAATTTCATGAGCAAAAGCAAAGATTAATGACATGCAACTTGCAGTTTTAAACTATAGTTAGCAAAAGATGTATCTGGATTGACGCAAATTCAAAGGACAGATTGATTTAAGGAAAAAAAAAAGAATTTTCTAATTGGCAGAAGATTGAAAGAATTGAAGAAAATAATTTCAAAGAGCAAAACTTTTTGGGTATACTTTTTTTTTCTGTCAACAGGGAAAGCGATTTCCTCTAGCAACCAGAAAGAATTTGAATTTGCTATAAACTCGAAACAGGAAAACAGCAGAACGTTAACAAACAGGGTTTCAACCTAACATTTAGCTGGGGTATCCTAAGCAGTTATGGAGTAGTGAAAGCCAGCTAAAAAGTCCTGCTCCTCTTTGGGAAATGTCCGTTGACTCCCCTGACAGAACAAGTTCCAATG